CCCCCCACACCCATCACCCCCTCCCCCATCACCCTGCACTCCCCCCCTCCACACCCCTCACGTCCCCTACACACACTCATCCTGGTCCAGGATACAGGGGCCTGCTGAAGCCGATGGAACTGCCCTCAATCTTCAATATTTTTAATAAAAATTTTAACAGAAAATAGACATTGTTTCTGATGATTTTTCTCCCAGGTTTTCGTTGATCTGGAGATTCTTTGAAACTCCAGGCCATTCTGAGAGGGCTGGCCACCTTCATTGTGTTTTTATCTCAGAAACGATGGGTCTTTCAAAACAGTGTCTCTGTGTCTACAGGCAGCGAACATACAAGCCCTCAAAGTGTTAATGTGTCATGTTGGCACTGTATTGCTCATGAGCCTGTAACTGAACTGAATCACTGAATCACACGCACATGCAAAGGACATATGCCCAACTTTCATTTATCCTGCTCTTCCCCCACTCATCATGTCTTTTCTCCCCTATGCTCAGTGCCTTCTTATCCCCCTTTAGTTTCTTGCTGTATGTACACTCCCCAACCTATCTTACCACCTTCAATCAAACCAATTACACCGAAGGCCAACGCTGATCACTTCCGTCTCCCACTCTCTCCCCACATGGTCCAGACCTTTGGCAGAGGAGAGTCAATGCAGAGAAGTGTGAGGTAGTGCATTCTGGTTGGAAGAATGTTGAAGGACAACATATAGTAATGGGTCCTCACCTCACCCAGTTCCATTGTTAACTATCTAATTATTGCCAGAGAATCACTTGCAGTGATTTGTCTTCCTGTTCCTACACTGTTACCTCTGATGTCCCCCAGTGACCCAGCCTTGGTACCTTCTATCTCTCATCTACATGCTGTCCCTTGACACTGAGCTCAGCACTGGTTTTCACACATACGCTGAGGTTCCTAGCTCGAATTCACCACCAGCTCTCCCAAGTCACCCATTATTGTTAAATTATCAGACTGCATCTCTGACACCTAGAACCGGAGTGGCAAATATTGTTCCGAAGAAACAGAAACAGAGGTTGTTGGAAAACAGAATTAATGTGTCAGGTTCAGTGACCGTTCTTCAGAACGGATCTGCTGACTTTTTCCAGCAATTTCTGTTTTTGTTTCTGATTTTAAACATCTGCAGTTCTTTGCTTTTTTTGCTGCAATGAAATATTGGGCATAACGAAGACATTGTTTTCAGTCTCCTGTCCAAATTCTGTTTCCTAGGCACCAAATCCAGCCCTCACCTTGGCAACAGCCTGAACTAAAGCAGGCTGCTCACCATCTTGGTGTTACATTTAACTCTGAGGTGAGATCCTACTCACACATTCACACCATGACTAGCCACCTATTTCTGGCTGACCATCACGAGCATCCTCTGAAAAAAGGCAAGGGGTTGGATCACACTTTCAGTGCTGTCAACAGCTCTTACAAAAAGCATCTTGAGGCGGGTGGTGAAGGTGGGGAACAGATTGACTCAAATGGTACTAGAAATGAAAGATACCTGTCAGGAAGGGCTGAATGGCCTGGTAATCAGAGCTGAGAAACATGAGTGAGATAGGCCTGATGGACATTTTTGAGATAATGGAAGGGGTTTGACATTGAGAAGATTTCTCCACTTCTGGGTAAGAATCAGAGACCATCACTAATAAATCCAATTAGGAATTCAGGAGAAATCTCTGTACTCAAGGAACAGTGAGAAGAGGGCACAAGCAGGTTATAAACAGATACCATAGAATCCCTACAGTGTGGAAGCAAGCCATTCAGCCCATCAAATTCACACCAACTCCCCAAATGGAATCCCACCCAGACCCACCCCGCCATCATCCTGCATTTTCCTTCGTCTAATCCATCTAACCTACATATCCCTGAACACTACAGGTAATTTAACATGGCCAATCCACCTAACCTGCCTATCTTTGACTGTGGGAGGAAACCAGAGCACCCAGCAGAAACACACACACAGACACGGGGAGAATGTGCAAACTCCACACAGACAGTCGCCTGAGGATGGAATCGAACCTGGATCTTTGGCGCTGTGAGGCAGCAGTGCTAACCACTGAGCCACCATGCCACCCTATGGTTGCAAATGGAGTGTAAACTGGGAAAATGTGAAATTGTCCATTTCGTCAAGGAAAATGAAAAAATATATTATCAAAATGGTGAGAGATTGCAGAGTGCTGAGTTATAGAGTGATCTGAGTGAGCTAATGCATGAATCACAAAACAATTAGTATGCAGATGCAGCACGTAATTATGAAGTTAAAATGGATTATAAGTTATTGTGGGAGAAATTGAACTAGGGAGATTATGCTTCAGTTATACAGGGCATTAGTGAGACTGCATCTGGAGTACTGTATACAGTATTGGTCTCATTTAAGGAACATCGTTAATGTGTTGCAGGCAGCTCAGAGAAGGTTTACCAGCCTAATGCCTAAAGAGGGCTGATTTTATGAGTACAGTCGGACAGAATGGGCCTGTATCGGCTAAGATTAAGAATGACTAAAGGCTCTTGACCAGGCAGATGTGGAAAGGATGTTTCCTCTTTCTCCTCAGGAGAATCTAGAACTAGAGGTCAGAGTTTAAAATTAAGGTGTCACCCATTTAAAGCAGAGATTAGTCTTGCTAGTGTGTTGAAAATACAATATTCTGTCTAACAAGCAAGGCAAAAAATTGCTCTATTTGCAAAAATGAAGCTTATATTTTAGAAAATTCACTCTGAGCATGAGCAAATAGTTTGTGACTTGAGAAACGAGGCAATTTTTAAAAAATATCTAAAAAAGAAAATGAAAGCTAACTCACTTCTCTCTCCCTTTCCCCTCCCCTCCCTCTCCATCACTGAATCCTTCCCCTGCTCTATTGATCTTGTGAGAATTTCCTTCCAATATTGCAATCTTACTTTGAGTGGAGCTGGTCACTTCCAGCTGTTGTGAGATTCAGGTCAGGCAAGTGATAACAGTAATTATAATATGTGAAAGCCTGATGTTTATGACACACAGAAACAGGAATTGCTGGAAAAGCTCAGCAGGTCTGGAAGGGTCACCGGACCTGAAACGTTAACTCTGATTTCTCTCCACAGGTGCTGCCAGACCTGCTGAGCTTCTCCAGCAATTCCTGTTTTTATTTCTGATTTCCAACATCTGCAGTTCCTTAAGTTTTCATAGGTGATTATGACTATCCCAGGAGGAGATCCACTAAGGTTAGATCAGTTGGTCAGAGCTGGTGGATCTAACCAGCTGAAGAGTTAGCCCTGGAGTACTGACTACCAACACTGAATGGGAACTGTTCCGATCTCTGGCATTATCTTCTGGTGTCTTACTCAACATAAATTAAACACAAAAAATAGAAAACACTCTTTCTTATTCAAATAATGTGTTGTTTTAGTCTCTTCTGTTCTACTTCAGGAATTTAGTCCCTAATGTATTCTGAATATTTATAGCACCTTTACTTCTGAGAAGAAATTTGCATTCTACACTCACAATGTTTACAAAGGATTCAGAAATGACTGAACTAAATTATGGAGAGCTCGAATGGCTTGCCTTGTCCATGACACATCCTCAACACAGTGATGTTAGGACAGGTACGCACACACTGGCTATGGAACAAAGGAATGAGGCAGGTAGAAGCAAAGATTGAGTTGTACCTTGGACAGATGGTCAGACTCCTCTTCGTGTGCTGAGCTTGAGGGCGAGGGGGTGGCGGACTTGCTTCCAGGGGGCGAGGGAGAGCCGTGAGTCAGAATGCTCCTAGCTACATTCAGACTGACCTGTGCATTCAGTTGTGAATGGCTAATGGCAGACATGTGACTGGGCGGCATGATTCCTGACCGACTGACCAATGGGTGTTGAGGTCCTGAATCGTATTGAGGACCCTCTGGATGACCCATTCCATGCATCTGGAGAATAAAGATGAATTTTTAACAGCACATTAGTTGCCTGGGCTAGAAAAAAATCATTGTCGCAAAAAAAAAATTCATGGCGATAAACTGAAGCTGCAAATGATCACTAGCTCAAGTCCTAGGGTTGTCTGAGGCCAGGTCACTGTGTAGACAATGACTGAGGGATTACAGTTCTCTCTCAGGTTTAGGGGTGGTTAAATCTATTGAAAATATCTTGGAGTTTTCAGGCTGCTATGGCAGTAGGTTCTGAAGAAGTCTCCAGAATTGGCCAGAGATAGTAGGAACTGCAGATGCTGGAGAATCTGAGATAACAAGGTGTAGAGCTGGATGAACACAGCAGGCCAAGCAGCATCAGAGGAGCAGGAAGGCTGACGTTTCAGGCCTAGGCTTCCTGCTCCTCTGATGCTGCTTGGCCTGCTGTGTTCATCCAGCTCTACATCCAGAATTGGCCACTTTGCCATCACAGTATGTGTTTGCAACTGGGATAAGCATTTGAAAAACATCTCGTGGGATCTGGTGTTGAATGCGAAACTTAATATTCACACTTATTCATCAATAGTAAATTGGTCAATGTTTTAAAATTATATGGAAGCGATTAGAAGATTGGTTTTAGGAAAAACAATTAGCCTTTTCATAGATCTAGCCCACACTGTCAGTCTCTTTATCAGTTCCCTCATTTCTTTCTCACACCTGAATACACTGACTCTCAGCGATATCTGCACCATCTAATTCCAGCCTTTTGAGCACCTGCTTATAATAATGATTGAGCTATTGGGGGCCATGCTTTCAACTATCTCTGTCCTCAGCACAAGACCTCCTTTCCTAAACCTCTCCACTTCCTTTAAGACGCTCCTTGAAACTTAGCTCATTGGTCAAGCTTATTGCTCATTGTCTTAAATGAATATAAGTTGTTACTTCACAGATCTGCCCTGAAACTTCCATCATTAATGCTGTAGCCCCTTTGTATAAATGACCGTTTTCAGGCCCTTCATTCTACAGTCTGACTCCCCAATGTTGGTTTTGTGTCGTGGTCTTTTATCCTTTTCCCCAGGTAAACTGTCCCATAGATTCACTTCACCATCTCCCCAGTTAGTGGGGAAAACAGCACTGACAATACCTTGACATCTACTCTTTATTGCTGCCTGTAGACTGAACACCTTTAGAAGCTGCTGGTGACTGATAATTCCTGTCTTTGTTGTCCAGCTGCAATACCTGGGCTTTCTAAGGTCTCAAGGACCATAATATCCATTCTGTGATGAGGTGATCAGACCTGTGTACAATATTCCAGCCAAGGCTCTGATCCAAGTCTTAAACATTGTCAACGCAATTGGTTTTGATTTAACACTCTCTCGGTCTACAAACAGCTGTTTTACAGCTCAGCGATAATCATCTTTCTGATTGACACATCAATCCCTGCTCTGATTCCCTCCTCTTTCAGAATTGTACACTTAGAAGCCAAAGCAGAAGAGACTGTTGTAAACTTGTTTGGATTAGTGTGGCTACAGTAGGCACAGTACTGGCAGACCCCACATTATCAATGTGTATGTGCATAAGTCAATTTGTAGCCAAGTTGGAACATCATACAGTACAGGATAAAACAGCTATTCGTAAATACAACTGAACAGTTGCATGTTGGATCCTCAAAATTAATATTAATACATCCCTATATAGGATCACGTTCCTAACTAGGAGTGTTCATAGTTGGACATTTGTAAATCGGGGTTACCTGTACACTTCAACAGAGTACTCATCAACAAAATGATGGTTTTTCAAATTTCCCCAATATAGTCTCTCAGCCTCTCCTCTGTAACTGCTTCACTGAACACAAAACTACTGTTTACCTCATGGTCTTTCAGTTTGTAAATCTGCAGTGATGTAATGTTTCTCTTTCAGAATATAAATTATCATTTGATTTGGTTAGGTCAGGCTTGTTGGTGAACTATTAGGAGGAGGGGCGATGTTTATACACTGGGTCATCAATCTGAGATTCAAAGAACAGTTAATGGGGCAAAGACAACATGGTCTTGTGAAAGGGGAATTCTGTTTGAGGATGTAATAAGCAGGCTGCGGAAAGGGGAACAAGGAGATGGAGTAGATCTGGATTTCCCAAAGGTTGCTACAAAAGATCAGAACTCTCAGGCATGGAGAGAGGATTGGTTAGCTGACAGGAAACAGAGTTAGGACAAGTGGATACTTTTCAGGTGAGCAAACAGTAACTAATGAATAACACAGCAACAAGGATCAGAGTGCAACCATTTACAGTCTGCTTTAATGGCTTGGATGAAAGGCACAACTGCATTTTATACTTTCATGGGATGTGGGTGGCACTAGCTGGATCAGCATTTATTGCCCGTCCCTAGTTGCCCCTTGAGAAGGTGTGGGTGAGCTGCCTTCTTGAACCGCTGCAGTCCATGTGCTGTGGGTTGACACACAATGCCCTTAGGGAGAGAATTTCAGGATTTTGACCCAGTGACACTGAAGGAATGGAGATATGTTTCCAAGTCAGGATGGTGAGTGGCTTGGAGGGGAACTTGCAGGCGTGGTGTTCCCCTGTATCTGTTTCCCTTATCCTTCTATTTGAGAGTGGTTTGGAAGAATTTAGATGAGTATTTGAAACACCATAGGCTACAACCAAGTGCTGAAACTGGGACTAGAGCAGACAGGCACTCAGTGCTCAGCACAAACAAGGGGCCTCTTTCCATTCTGCAGGACTCTATGACACCTGCTGTTGCCGAGTATGGAACTAGGGGTCACTGTGGACCGAGATGAGAAGGAATTTTGTTTTTGCGATACTTTGGAATTCTCTTCCCAGAGAACTGGGTGCCTGACTATGGAATATGTTCAAAACTGAGCTTGATAGCTTTGAGGATGCTGACAGAAGCAGGGGATATGGGAAAAGGGGGAAGGTTAGTCATGATGTGATTGAACAGAGCAGCAGACCCGAGGGGATGAATTGTCAGTTCCTTCTGTTTGTTTTTCTCACACCTACCCATTGAATTTCCCACACTTTGCAGAAATAATTTGAAGGGATAAATGAGAGAAATTGGGGGATAATGTTCTAACCTACTACTTTCTAACATGCTGATCTCTACTGATAACGACCTCACCCTCTGATTCATATTTTCATTCAAATTGGAAAGTGTTTCAGTAAGTTTCTCACAGTCTTTAAACAAAAACTGATCACCATGGTATCTAATTACAACTAAAAATGTTAACTTTGTTATAACGGGCTGGCCGTGTATTACTGGGGATAGCCCCAGATATCTCAGAGGGGAACTCCCTCAGGCAGATTCCCAAGGCCCACTCAACTTGTGCTTTCATTGAGTGAGTTTTTAATTCCAAACAAGACAGGACAGAGCAAAGCAAAATTGGGAATGGAGCAGCCTTGGGATGTTAGCATCACAGAGGTCACCCTATTCAATGCTGATGCAGTAAAATGAGTTCACCTGAAATCTAGCTAAAACAGCATCTGGCCTGTTACTGACTGGAACCAATCACACTCTTTCACACAGCTCCTTCGATACTGAAGCAGGCCATGTCCAAATGCAGGACAATACCCAGGCTTGGGCTGACTACTGGCAAGTAACATCCATGCCACACAAATGCCAGGCAATGGCTATCTCCAATAAGAGACAATCTAACCACCGCCCCTTGACGTTCAATGGTGTTACCACCGCTGAATCCCCTGCTATCAACATCCTGGGAATTACCACTGACCAGAAACTGAACTGGACCAGCCAAATAAATAGTGTGGTTACGTGAACAGCTCAGAAGCTGGGAATACTGCAGCAAGTAACTCACCTCCTGACTCCTCAAAATCTGTCTACCGTCTACAAGGCACAAGTCAGGAGTGTGATGGAATACCCCCCACTTGACTGGATGGGGACAGCTCCAACAACACTCAAGAAGCTCAAGGGTAGGTGGATTGGCCGTGCTAAATTGCCCATAGTGCCCAGGGATGTTTAGGTTCAGTGGGTTAGATATGGGAAATTAGGGGAATGGGTCTGGGTGGGAATACTCTTCAGAGGAGTAGTGTGGACATGTTGGGCTGAATGGCCTGTTTTCACACTGTAGGGATTCTATGATGATCTATGATGATGACCATCCAGGACAAAGCAGCCCATTTGATTGGCACTGCATTCACAAACATTCACTCCCTCCGCCACCAATATATAATGGCAACAGAAACCTTCAAGTTGCATCAACTTGTATCCATCAAGATACAAGACACACTCCAAAACCTGACTGAGGCTCCTTGAACAGCAAACCTATAAGCTCAAACACAGAAGGACAAAGGCATAAAATACATCAGAACACCACGACCTCAAATTGCCCTCCAACCATTCACCATCCTGACTGTGGACTATATTGCTATTCCCTCACTGTTGCTGAGTCAAAACCCTGGAATGTGCTCCCTAACAACATTGTGGCGTACCTATACTACATGGGTTGTGGCGTTCAAAAAGGCAGACTGGCAGTTAACTATCAGTCACTATTAACTCATCCATTCTGAGCTGTGTTCCTTTGAACATTCAAAGTTCATTTTCCAACAATTCAGCACTGTCCTCTCATGCAGTGTGAATGCTGTTTTCCTATTAATTTGATATTTCTTGCCAATCATCCTAATGAGTGCAAGATGAAAAGTATAGAAAAAATGTATCTTTTCTCAGTCATGCTCAAGTTCTGTACAAACAAGAGACTATCTTAATTCATTGTGTAAAAGGCAAAGTCACCATAGGATTGTTCTCACATCAGAGAGAGAGAGAGATGACGCCTCAGGCAAGGGGGAAGAGGTTGAGAAGGAGTGACCTTCATGGTAACTTCAGCCAGTGTGGAAATGGAGCCCACACTATTGGTCTCACTCCGAATCAGAGACCAGCTGTCCAGCCAACTGAGCTAACCAACTCCTGATTGCAGTGAGCCAGAGCAATGGTGAAGAGATTGGCCAATCAAAATAAACTATAATTTGCCCCAAACTAGTCTTTTTTTAAGATAAA